CGGAACATAGTTAAGGATAAACTGCCCGTTTTGTTCTAAATGCCAATGGCAGGGAATAAACTTAGGTAATCAAGTTGCAATTTGAGAATATTATTAGCTTTTTTGCTGTCAGTTTCATAAATGCAAAACAGTATGCTGAATTTTTTTATAATCTTGTATGAAAAGTTCACTATAAGACATCTTTTCACCATGCCAACAATAATTTGCACTTTTTAAAATGCTGTAAGATTTTGGTCACCCAGTGTTTTTCAGCTAGATCAGAGCATATGTGTTGAATTATCTTCTCCTTACTTTATAGCTTCCCAGGTATTTAGTCTTGTCCACCTCTGTGATGTCCTCTGCCTTTTGATTTGTATTCTTTATCCACCTGTCACTTCAGGCACAAACAAGAAAATAACTGACATTATTAAGTTGTATTATTATGTTGACCCTAGAGCCACATACTACGCTTCTGGATTCCCAGAAAGACATTAGCTAAGGGATAAAAGGCAATCATCTAGATACATGTGCCTTCATTTTCCCTGGGGTATTAGAAATTTTTCTTTTTTTATTTTTTAATTTTTGGTATGTATCTTAAGAGCCTGGCTGAACTTCTCTGGAAGCACTAAGAAGGGGGACAGGCAAAAAATTATTCCATACTTATTCCAAACTTTAAATCATTACACTGAGGTTGAGTTATGAGACTGCATTGCCTGCTGAGTTGCCTGGGACTTCTTCAGATGGTGACAGAACAGTAGTGCCTGTTCCCTGCCCTCCCATGAAGCCAGCACAGATTTAAAACTTACCTGTGACCAGTAGAGATTATGTGCAGACAAAATTCTTTTGTCCTCTGTGCGATGTTCCCACTCCTCTCCATATAGCTTTCTGCACAACAGCAGGGGAAACAGTCCGTATTGTCAAATGGCATGTTACACTTGGCATGAAAACCAGAGCATCCTTGAAGTATTGCTGACAAGATTTGAAATTACAACCTGCTTTGTTATGATGGTACAAGAGGAGTCAATGGAGTTGCATTAAACTAACAGGACTGACTTGAGACATTTTTTTCTGGGACTTACTGCCTTTTTTTTTTTTTTTTTTTTTGACCTTTTGGATGTTTTTAGTCTTTTGTTATAGTCCTAGCATTTTATTAGCTTTTCTAGTACTAATGTCTTTAAAAAAATGTTCATTCTTTGGAAAAAAAAGCAATTGATCTTCTCTGAGAGAAATGGGGAAAGCTGCTTTTTGCCCAGGTATATGTATCTCTCTGTACAAGCACACGTTGAGGGGCGTATCGTTTTGTGCCGGGCTTCCTCCTCCCTGGTGGCGCAAGGAGTGAAGACGGTGGGTTACGAGGGGTAAGGGTGTGCTCTGCTCTATTCCGTGGCGTTAGAGGGTTTATGCGTGAGCTGGAAATGTAAGTGTCCTGCATAGAGGCTTTCACAGTTGGCATCTTCCCGTTCCTCTCCCCTTCCTCATCCTCATGTCTCCAAACAGGGCAGCAG